CCTCTGCTTCTCTCTCTCTCTCTCTCCATCTCTCTCTCCCTCTGTCTCTCATGAATAAATACATAAAATCTTAAAAAAAAAAAGAAAAAAGGAAATGAATTGCTCATAATGCTACCACAGGGAAGTCCCTTGAAAATGTGATGTTAAGTGAGCGCCAGTCACAAAAGCCCAAATGGTAGGTGATGCCATTATGGATGAAATGTCCAAAACAGGGAAACCTACAGAGATACAGAGTAGATTAGGAGGTGGGGGAATAGGAGGCTGATAGCTAAAGGGCACAATTCCTTCACGAGGGGCTGAAATGTACCAGTGGTAATGGTGATGGCCATACAACGCTGAACATATTAAAAACCATTGAACTGTACACTTAAAATGGGACTGTTTTATGATATTTGAATTATATGTCAATAAAGCTGTTATACACATCAAAAAAGAGAGGTGAGCTATCAATCACCATCATCGTGAGAGCTCACATCAACCGTAAGTGCGCTGTGGGCTTTTCTTGTACTTTACCCCTATTAGCTCATTAGACACTCAAGCAACCCTGTGAGGTGGGTTCTATGGTCCCTGTATTACAGATGAGAAAACTGAGGCACAGAGAGATTTAAGAACGTTGCTCAAAGGCCGCGTAGTAAATTGTGGAACTGGGAATTCATCTCAGGCAGCCTAGCTCTGGCGCCTACCCGGACACGGCTCACCCTGAGCAGCAGCCCCCACCCTCCAGGCTGGGTTGGGACCCCCTCCTCTGTCCTCCTGTAGCAGCTCCCTCCTCCCCTGAGTAACTCACGCTGCACTGATTACAATCCTCTGTGAGTGTGGGAGCTCTGTGTGGTCCATAAGGGTCAGGTTCAAAAGTTAGTCTCAATTGCCTGCCAAATCCCCGACATCATCCTGTGTGCACAGAGACTACGGGATGATTCTGACACACGCTTGGCTTTGGGGGCCACCGAGCCAACTCAGAGAAGGAAGAGAAGGGGCTTCTCTTTCATTCAGCTATTCAGGGCTCCCAAACCTTTTACGAGAACTCTCCAACCCTTAGCCAGTGCACAGGGGATGGACTGAGAACGATGCTGCTGCTCTCACCTGCAGGGCTTACACCGTTCTCTCTTTGATCTTAGTGTTTGTTGCTCTGCAGGGTAAAGCCCAGGGGAGCTGTGGGCAGTCCAGAAGACAAAGGTTAAATAAGCCAATTGACGCTGTTGAGATGGTGCTCTGTGAACCGAAGGCTACAATGATTGTTGGTGTCCCCTTCCTCTTTGGTTTCCCTCCTCCGTATTCTCTCAATAAATGTGTGCTGGGCTTGGAGAAGGCCAGGGTCAGGAAAAGCATTGGTCCTTGTCCTCAGGGAGCTCACAGGGTGCAGGAGAAGCGAGGCTATGCCTGGATTAACCATCAGGCAGAGACAGGAGTAACAACCCCCAGGCTACGGGCAAGGTACTCTAGCTGTTCAGATTCCTTCCAGCTCAAAAGGGGGCAAAACTGGGCGATTAGGGAGAGGCAGCACCCGAGAGAGGAATATGTGGCGCGTGGTTACCAAAGCTCTCACAGGCTGGTTTCTCCAGACCCCCTGCGGGGGCGGCAGGGACACTGTTGGGGGAGGGGCAGAATTTGTAAGACATCAGAGGAACACACGCAGCCCCCCCCCACAAGTACAGGGTATTCTGTGAGAAGAAACCCCCCAGGTTACCAAACTGGCCCTCACTTCACACAAAATTTTATCCTGTGCCACCAGGCAGCCTGTGGAGCATCAGGAGCTCTGGGTCCACCTAGAGATGCCTCTGGATGTCCATGGCTGCAAAGGGGGTACAGGGAGGATGGGGGAACTCTTGTGGTCTGAGCCTCCAGGGGATGCCAAGAGCTGTGCTCTGCCTTACACACATCAGAATGATGATACTGTCCTCATCTGACAGGTGAGGAAACGAGGCTAGGCGGTGACACACCTGGCTTGAGGTCACAAAGCTTGGAAGGCAGCCTGTCCAACCCCCAAGCTGATGCTCAGTCCCCTCGCCCCATAGAAGGTAAGGTTGAGCCCTCGAGGCTGATTTTCGGAGGCTCCCAGGGCCCAGTGAAGCACACAGTGCAAGAAACTTTGCTCGCCTCATTTAACAAGCAGACACTAAGCACCTATCACAGGCAGCGTTCCAGGCCGTGGAAGCAGAGCAGGAAACAAGTCGGGCAACATCTGTGCCCCATGAGATAGCATGCGTTCCAATGCAGGGATACAAATGTCAAATAAACACACAAGAGAGATGCAGAGAGTGAAAGGTATGATCAATGAAACAGGTGTTAGGGAACAAATGGGGGGCCAAGCCACTGAGGCTGGTCAAGGAAAGTTTCTCTGAGCCTCTAAGCCAAGGCCTGGATGTAGTCAGGTAAGGGCCTTCCAACAGAGAGAACAGCATGGGCAGGACACTGACATGTTTTAAGAAGAGAAGGCCCGTGTGGCTGAAGCCAGGAGTAAAGACGGTAGTAGGACAAGGAGCTGCAAGTGGAGACCAGTCAAGCAAGGCCCAACGGGAAAGAATCTGGATTTTAATTTTAATGCACTGGGAGGCCACTGGGAGAAGGCACAGTGTACAGCGGTTGAGAGTGTGGACTCTGGAGTTGAAATCCGGAGTCTGCTTGCCACATACTAGCTGTGTGGCCTTGGACAAGTTACTCAACCTTTCTGTTGAGTTTTCTAGTCAGCTGCTTCATCTGCAAAAGGAGATAATACTACTACCTACCTAAGAGGGTTACTGAAGGCCTAAATGAGCAGGGCAGTGATAGTATCTAAGGTATAATTTTAAAAATCACTTTAGCTTCTGTATGGAAAAGCTATTGGAGGGGGCAACAGAGGCAACAGGAAGCCCAAAGATGAGGTTTGTGTGTGGGTCAGGGAGAAGGAAGGTGGCTTGGATTCGTGTGATGGCCAAAGTATGGAAAAAGAGAGGCTGAATTCTGATTTTAGATACACAGCAGACAAGACTTTCTGATGGACTGACTTCCACGCAGGTGGTTCCTGTCCTGGGGTCTGATTCTCTGCTCCTCAAGTGGGAGAGCCCACTGGGGCAGCTCCCCATAACTATGCACTTCCTGAACTCTTGAACTGCACCTGAACCAAGAAGGCTGGCTCCCCAGCTGAGCAAGATTCAGTGCGGCTGGTGCAGTGTGCCCAGGCCAGCCCTTGCTTAGCTCAAAGCCCAGTAAGAAAGAAAACATAAGGCCACAGGGAACTCTAGGGTGTGTGATAAGGGTTCGAGGAAGTGGGCCTTGGGCTAGAAGCTAGCTCCTCCCACTTATTCCTAGAGGAGCAGAACCCTCTTCCCCAAGCCCCAGGCCTCCTGGAGAGGGCAAATTTCTCTCTCTCTCTCTCTGTCGCTCTGCTTCAGTATCTGTCCCCAAATGCTTCTGCCCAATCAGACTGCCACCTGTAAGCCCTTCCTCTCATAACTTCTAAGATTTAGTGAGCTCTCACTGCATGCCAAAGATTTTTCTAAAGTGCTTTACATGTATTAACCAACTTACTCTTCGTGACAATCCTCCGGAGTAGCTTCTATTATCATGCCCATTTAAACGCTGAAGAAACAGGCAAAAGTAGTAACCATGCATGAAGTCTAAGTGCCGCTAAGTGGCAAAGAAGAGATTGAAGGCAAACAGTCTGACTCTAGGGCACATACCCCTATCCACTACTACTGCCCTGTACCGGCCAAGCGCTACCACTGTCCCAGCTCAGAACCCATCTTATCTCTTCCCAGAACTGCTCTTCCATGAGCAACGCTTGCATGCTCATCCTTACCTGAGGGCAGGGACTGTGTCTGAAACATGTGTGAACACTTCTCCCTAAAAAGTCCCCAGGGTCTGGTCCATACCTGCTGAATGACTGGACGAACATTTAACAGAATCAAAGGCAAGCAGTTCCCAGCGCCGTGCTGGTGGCTCTGCCTTCTCAGATATTTCTTGATTGTGCAAGGTCACCTCCAGACCAGTTAGCTGGCTTATAAAAATTGGGAGCTGCATAGGATGGAACATGGCCAGGGCTGCTGTTTTTGTCAAGATTATGCAGTTTCGCAAGCAAGAGCTGCCTGCTATCCAGGGAACCCCCTCTGTAGGTGGGGCTATCTATACTCAGCCTAGCTCCTCATTCCCTGGGCACCTAAGATTAAGATACCAGTGTGTCAGAGCCTGTAGAGGGCTCTGGCAAGGCAGGCTTGAGATCGGTACTCTAGGCTCTGCCTCTGGGTCTCTATGTGACTCTGAGGACGTTCCTTCCCATCTCTGGGTTTCAAAGTAGTGTTGTTGTTCTAAGAGATTTGCCGGCTCCTTCTAGAGGCCTCCAGTCTGTCCGCACAAGTTTTTCTGGCTCTTACCTGCCACCCCTTGCAGGGAAGTGCGCACCGCGTCCACGCAGCTCTGACAGGTCATCTGCACTGTGAACTCCAGCTGCAAGGGCGGCAGGGACTGGCTGATGAGAGTCGGGGACCCCTCTTGCGTGACTCTTGTTTCACTACTACGACCACCCCTATGACCACCCCTAAGGCCTGGGGAAACGCCCTCACGTGACCCCTTCTCAAGCGCCCTCATTATCAGTCGTGATCGTTCCAAGACCAAACCCCCAACGTTAACGCCAAGGGCCCTGCTAGTCTCGCACCCGTTTCCCGCGGAGGCCCCAGGCCCTGCCCCAGGTGCCTACTCCTTCCCCTTTTTCTGCGTTAACAATCACCCCAGGGGCCGAGGCTCTCTGCCCAGAGAGGCTCCCACACGAGGCCTCGACCCTCACCGTGCAGGCGGTCCCGCGGTCCCCGGAGTCCAAAGCCATCTCGGACCCAGCCACCACCCGTTGGACCTGCACTGCTCCGGCGCAGAGGCGCAAACCCCTAACTGCGTCGCGGGGAGGCGGAGCTTCGGAAGCCACACTTTGCCCCGCCTCCTGGTACGCGCGCACGTCAGGCCCGCCCTCCGACGTCACGCGTTGGACGGTACTGGCTGCGCAGGCGCGCTCGGTCCCTGGTTGCCTTAGTAAGCGCTTGGCCACTTTTGCCCGGACCTCCCGCGCCTCCAGGGCAAAAATGGAGCCCTATAAACCAGAGCCCGAGCTTCAGCGGTTTTACCACCGGTTGCTGGGCCCGCTGTCGCTCTTCCCCCGCAAGGTGACGCGCCCAGACTCTCAGAAGCACCTCCCGCCGGAGGTGCCGATGCTTTTGCCCTTGCCCGTCTCCCGGCTGACGGTGGCGTCGCTGTGCAGCCAAGTGACCAAGCGGCTGGCCCGCAGTGGGCTGTCGGTGCGCGTGCCTACCGAGAGCCGACTCCGTTTCACTGAGGTCATCCTGGACGAGCTGAAGTGCAGCTGGCAGGAGCCTCCCACAGAACCTAGTCTGAGCCACTTGAACAACCAGAGACTGCGGAAACGGCTCCTGGCCTACGTACTGCTCAGCAGCGAGCAGCTATTCTTACGCTACCTGTACCTGCTGAAGACCATGTCGACCCGCAGAGGTGTCTTCACTGAATCAGCCACACTCACCCGTTTGACCGCCAGCCTCGCCAGGGACTGCACAATCTTTCTCACCAGCCCTGAGGTCTACCGTTGCCTGCTCGCCGACTTCCTCACCCTGCTGAAAGTAGAACAAGCCCACAGTGGCATGCATAAGCTGCGCCCAGTAGGCCCTACTGGGGCTTTCAGGCTTTACCCTATCCCATGGCTTCATAGCACCAGCTTCGCCCAAATACCAAGCAGCAACCTCAACCTAAACTACCTCATCCAACTCAGCCGCCCGCGGGAGTTTCTCAGTGAGCCTGAACTGGATCCGGTGAAGGAATTGAAGTCCATCCCCCAGCCGAAGAGGAAAAAGCCTCTCCAATGGCTGTCCTCTATGCAGAAGAAGAGAGAGAGCAATTTCAGTTCTGCACAGATTGTGTCACTGCCCAAGTACTCTGTGACTCCCACCAGCAGCGCTCCCTCCACCTCGCCCCACTTGCCCCTCTACTCCCAGCTCCAGAGGAGCCATTCCATGCCCTCTCTGTGTAAGGGCTGGAAGCTAGCAGATGAGTTGGGCCTTCCTCCACTCACCCCTCGCCCCTTAACCCCACTGGTCCTGGTTCCAGAAAGCAAAACAAAGCTGGCAGGGGACACAGTGGCTGAGGACCTGAAGCAGATGATAAAGAACATGAAATTGGAGAGGACTCACTACTCACCACTGGACTCAGGCCTACCCCCACTCCTGGGGGCCCTGACCCGCCGCCCAGCTGCAGCACATCGCATGCAGGAACTTCAGAGAATGTTGAAGAGCCTCGAAGAAGAAGAAGCCACTGGGCAGTGGGGCCTCCAGTGCCCCAAATCCTTTCTACTTCAACCACAGCCAGTGACTGTTACTTTGAAGCTAAGAAATCAGGCAGTGGTACAGGCAGCTGCTGTGCAGATCTCTGAGAGAAACTTTCTGGACTCCTTCCACGTTGACGGGGCCGGAGTCCTATACAACCACCTGGCCGGTGAACTAGAACCCAAACTTATCGAGGAAATGGATATTGATTGCTTTGTTGGCAATAACATCAGAGAGGTCTACAAGGAGTTGATGAGCCGTGTCTCTCTTGACCACTTCTCTTTTGACCAGGGATCCCTGGTTGAGCCTGCAGCCAATAAAGACTGGTCAGCCTTCCTGTCCTCAGCCTTTCTACATCAAGAAAAACAGTATCACATCATCAATCCCAAGTTAGCTGGGCTTTATTCCCAGAGAGCAAACATTTTACAGTCCTATGATAAGGCAGCCTCCCTCACATCACTACAAGCAAGCAAAGGCTGGGAGAAGTGGTCCAACAAAATCTCATGGATGAACTGGTGGAAAACCACCTTGTCTGTGGATGACTACTTCAAGTACCTCACCAGCCAGGAGACAGATTTCCTCCATGTCATCTTCCAAATGTATGAAGAGGAGGTTCCTGTGGAGACCATAGCCCCTGTCAGAGAGTCCCTAAAGATTCAGTACCCACCTCCCTTGCTGGAAGATGAAGAGCCAGACTTTGTGCCAGGAGAGTGGGATTGGAACACAGTGCTAGGGCACAGCCTGGGAAGTAAGAGAGTCAGCCTCCTGGGAGAACCCTACAAAATCCTGAGCCTACAGAAGCGTCTGGAGCGCCTGTGGTCCATGCTTGAGGTCCCCCACAAGGACCGACTGGACTTGGCCATCAAGTACAGCTCCAACGCCCGTCTGAGGCAGCTGCCTTCATTGGTGAGTGCCTGGGAGCAAACCCTGAAGCCCATTCAGCTGCGGGAGATGTTGCTGGGGAGACTAGAATGGTTTGAGCGACAAGCCTCTGACCCCAACCGCTTCTTCCAGAAGACTGACATGGGCCTGAGTCGCTTCCTGGAGGAGAATCAGTTCCGCAGCCGTCTACACAGGAAGATCAATCTAGTGCAGGCTCCTTTGGCTTCCCTCCTGGAGGAGATTGAATTAATCTTTGGGGAGCCAGTGACCTTCAAGGGGCGGCGATACCTGGACAAGATGAAGCATGACAAGGTGGAGATGCTCTACCGGCTACAGCAGAGGCAACGGGTCCGCCACCTGACCCAGGGGCAGAAGGCCTCCCACCAGCCAAGGCTGTTCAAGAAGCTCAGCAGCCAGCCTTTAATAACTCCTGGGAATACTCCTGTTACTCTGTGACAAGGCCAAGTGCCCTCCCATCCCTCCCTAACCCCCAAACACCCGGCAGATCCTCCAGACCTCTTGACTGCTTCAGAAGACAAATTATCTGGGAGTGCAGGATTTGGGAACATTGTGCTTCCAACTACCAAGGGACTGAGATTAATACTTTATTTTGACTACAAAGTGCTCATAAAAGAATCCCCAAGCCCAGAAACCCAGTATTCCCATTTATTTCAAGCCATGCACACTGCAGCCAAAATCTCATACATCCAAAAAACTGAGACCATCTGTTGGAGTTCATCGTAATGGTAAATGTCAGACAGAGGCAAACCTTCACCTTTGGAACCCCTCAGCTTAGCATTTATCACACTACATTCAAGTTGGCTGATTAGAGTCCCAAATCAAGAGGTTCTATGACATGATGCTTAAGAGCTAGTAGGGCTCTGGAGTTAAGAGATACGGATTTAAATCCTGCTTTGTAACCTCAGGCAAATTCCCTAACTGCTCGGCCCCTGGACCATCATAAGATGAAGGGGTTGGGTCCAGGTTGTCACTACCACTTCTAGGATCCTGTTGGTAGAGCTAAAAATTTGTATTACATTTTTACCAGTTAACACAAGCACATGGTACAGAGAACACAAGGGTATATATTGAAAAGGAAGTCTCCTTCCTGTCTCAACCTCCCATACCTCAGTTCTCCTCCATGGGGAACTGTAAACATCTACATTACTCAGGAGAAACAGACCATAAGCCATAAACATAGTACCCAAGCACACTGAAAAATAGAATGCTAGAAGGTGGTAAATACTACAGACAAAAGAAAAAGGAGAATAAGTAAGGAAACAAAGGCTGAGGGATGTTGTTTTAATTAGGGTGGTCAGTGCAGGCCTCACTGGGAAGGGAAGGTTTGAGCAAAGGCCTGAAGGAGAGGAGAAGTGAGCCCTGTGGACATTGAGGGTAACTTCCTCAACACCCACTACAAAGCCCTAAGGCAGGCAGGTGCATGGAGTGTCCCAGAAAAGCAAGGTGGCCAGTGCAGGTGGAACAGAGCAAGGGGGGGGGGGGAGAGGAGTCAGAGCCATCATAAGATGCGAAGGAGCAGGTTAGATTATGTAAGGCCTCATAAGCTATTGTATGAACTAGTTCAGAGAGAGCCTATGCACATATGAGCATGTATGCATATATTATCCATGCATATGTGTATAACTACACCAGCAGTAGGACACTATTCTGCTATTTTGCCCCTTTCTTATTTTACCTAACATACCTTGAACTCATTTCATATCGATACACATAGAGCTGCCTTATACTCATGATGGCTATATAGTATTCCACTGTGTGTATTTTTATTTAACTAGTCCCACATTAATGGACATTTACAAACACAAAATGCTCTAGAAAACATCCTTATTCATCTATTTAGAATGTGCAACTATTTCTATAGTATAAGTTCCTGAAAGTGGAATTGTGTATAAGCATTTACATAAAAGCGTAAGTATTTGTAATTTTGATAAGATATTACTGATTGCCCTCCACAGAGGTGATAACAATTTGCAGTATTGTTAACATTGCATGAGTATATTTCTTTCCCCACTCACCAATAGAATGTTACCAAATTTTTCAACCTTTACCATCTAGCAGGCGAAAAATAGTATCTCATTTGAGTTGTGTTCTCATTTCTCTTATGAGTGAAGTTGCACCTTTTCTATGTTTAAAATCTATTTGTATTTCCTTTTCCATAAAATGCCCATGTACTTTGCCCACTTTTCAACTGGTTTTGACTTTTTCTTGATTTTTCAGAGCTCTTTATATATTCAGGAAATTCAGCTAACATGTCAGTAGTTAACATGTCAGTAGTTAACACTTATTAAATTCTTACCTTGTGCAGAACACTTTCCCTACATGATTTCTTAGACTCCTCACAACTACCTTGTAAAGTACATATTTTAATCGCCATTTTGTGCTGAGGAAATGAAGACTCGGATAGGTAAAGTAACTTACCCAGGGTCATAAAGGTAGTAAATGGGAGAGCCAGGACCCAAGCCCAGGTCTGTCCGACCCAGAAGGCTACAGGTGTCTTTTTGGTATACTGATTGTGTGAGATATGGTAAAAGAGCTCTCAGACACAGCCTACCTTATCTGCCTGCACAGGTATTGTGAACACCTCTGATTTCCTTCACTCATCATTGGCTGACACATAAACTTCCACTTTGTTTTCCCAATAAAACAGCATTTCTCAAGCGCTTCCAACCCAATTCCCCTTAGAATGGAGGAACACAAGCATTTTGGTGAGGTTTGAGGGACTGGGGTCAGGGAGGGTGTGTGGGTGGAGGGAAGCAGTGCTAGCTAGCCTGAAGCCTGAGCAATTTCTCTCTCTCTTTTTTTTAAGATTATTTATTTATTTATTTGACAGAGAGAGACACAGCAAGAGAAGGAACACAAGCAGGGGGAGTGGCAGAGGGAGAAGCAGGCTTCCCACCAAGCAGGGAGCCCGATGCGGGGCTCAATCCCAGGACCCTGGGATCATGACCTGAGCCAAAGGCAGACGCTTAGTGACTGAGCCACCCAGGCGCCCCGAAGCCTGAGCAATTTTTTTATAAAGTCTTTTATTTTTGAAATTTATGCAAAATATGCATTCTACTTCATAGTATGTCCATTTTTTAGATATAAAAATGACACTTGAAATTACTTTGAATTAAACTGGCCCTCCAGGTAGCTATGCTATATTTAGTATTTATATTGTGGCTTCACGTCTCTCCTGGCCATAATGCTGCATTCTCCAGAAGTTACACATAACCCAGGTGAGAAACACTACAGTAGGGGTCAGCAAACTTTTTCTGTAAAGGGCCAGATAGGAAATATTTTAGGCTTTGTGATATGTTCTCTCTCATGAAGCTCAACTTTGCTTTTGTTGTGTGAAGTTATAGACAATACGTTGAATAAATGGGGCAGGGCTGTGTTCCAATAAAATTGTATTTGCAAAAACAGGGCCGGATTTGGCCCTCATGCTGTAGTTTACTAACCAAACACCAGCGCATCAGCCCCTTTAAAAAGCAGAGATACTCAGGAGGAGCGAGATAGGAAATTTGTGCAGCTATTTCCCAAAGTGTGTTGCATAGTAAACTAATTCTGGGTGACAGTCCTTGAATGATGGTTCCATGGTCAAATAATTTGGGGGAACAGTGCATATGCATTTCTGCATTCCCTCAGAGACTGACAATACATATTAGCATATTGAGAGCTCTGATAGGTCTTGCAAAAAATACAGTTGTTTAACTTTGACCAAAGAACTCTTTTATTCCTTGATAGCCATTATGATTCCTGGGAAGTTTTTGGGAAACAGTACCTCACTGTGAATTAGTCCTTTGGAATTCCCACTGAACGTTCTAGATAGGGTTAGTGCCCAGAGATAGGACAGGAAGGATACATTCCTAGACACACAGGCCTAGTTGAGATATCTGAGTCTCAAGTGGCATAAAAAGGTATCCTAAAACCCAAGACAGGCTTGAGATGAGAAGCCACAGGAGATAGAGACTCTTAGGCCTGCTTCAAAACACTCCCGCAGTAGATTCTGCCCTTCTACCGGGCGTTCAGATGTGGAAGTATATAGACCTAGGACCGCCTCTCCCAAAGTTTCAGACCTAAGCCCATGTCTGTGTGATCCCGCACTGCTAATCCTGTTTATGGTTTATAAAGTGCTTTTCATGTTCATTCGGGTAAGAACCAATTGAATATAACTTGCTCCCAAAGTCGTAAAGTCTCAACTTAAACCCACGTCTGGGGACTTCAAATTCTTGGCCCTGGCTGCCCGGCTGTGGTGGGGGTCCTTGCTTCTCGCCAAGCCTCCCTGTAGCCAGAGGCCCCTGACCCCATCCGGGCAAACTCAGCTGTTTGCCAGGTGTCGTGCTCAGGTGCTTTAAGGATATTCTTTCCTTCTTTTTTTTTTTTTTTAAGATTTTATTTATTTATTTTGAGAGAGAACACGAGTGGAGGCAGAGGGAGAGAGAGAATCTCAGTCAGACTCCTCGCTCAGTGCAGAGCCCAATGTGGGGCTCAATCCCAGGACTCCGAGATCATGACCTGAGCCGAAATCAAGAGTTGGGCGCTTAACCGACTGAGCCCCCAGGGGCCCCAGGATGTTATTTCATTTAATCCTCGCAACAATTGTGCAAAGCAGGAGGAGGCATTATTACCTCCCTCTAAGGAAACTAGACTCTAGAATAACTGGATGAAAATCAATTCTCTAAATTCCTGAGGATTTTTGTAGACATTAATTTTGTGCCTGCCAGAGGCTGTCAGACAAATACTTTCAATCCGACTGGGATGATTTGCTGCAGCCCTTTTGCTGCCCAGCCAGGGGCAGGGACCAAAAACCTGTAAAAGCCCAATATCTTCTCTATTTGTTACATTAAAAGGATGGCTCGTTCATTTGCATATTTAAATATATATTTATTATCTACATTAACATGAATCTCATTATATATGAACAGAAATAACATGTTTTTATAAAATATAACTTTTGGGGCGCCTGGGTGGCTCAGATGGTTAAGCGTCTGCCTTTGGCTCAGGTCATGATCCCGGGGTCCTGGGATCGAGTCCCGCATTGGGCTCCCTGCTCCTTGGGAGCCTGCTTCTCCCTCTACTTCTCTCTCTCTCTCTCTCTCTCTCTCCCCCTCTGTCTCTCATGAATAAATAAATAAATAAAATCTTTAAAATATATATATATAAAATATAACTTTTCCCAAACAAACAAAAAGTAGTGAAGCAGTTTTACTCTTTTGCAAATCTTTTTAATGTCTGGTTTAGTGGGAGAGAGCTGGATTCTCCTACCTGTTGCTGCATGCATCTGTTGCAATATCCAGAGGTCATGTAGCCTCTGGAAAACCCTCTACTCAGGAGAGTGTGAGGGTAGAAAAGGCACATAATGTCTTAGCAATATTATGAAAAAAGTTCTGACATCATGAAACCCCAGAAGGGGTCTGGGGACACTATTTGTATTGTTTGTTTGTTTGTTTTAAGTAGAAGAAGGGGCAGACATGGGGACAAAGGCAGTCGTGAGGGTGGTGGTAGGGGCAGTGGGACATGTTGGATCCGGGGCCTGGGCAGTTGCTGGGGCAAGGGCAGTAGACGTGGGGGAAGGGTTGGTTGAAGAGGAATGTCTGTTTGTTTATAAAATGTCAATGGCAAGGCCAGAGGTCAAACCACAACTTCACACAAATCGGAGGGACGCCTGGGTGACTCAGTTGGTTAAGCATCTGCCTTCAGTTCAGGTCATGATCCCAGGGTCCTGGAATCAAGTCCCACATTGGGCTCCTTGCTCAATGGGGAGCTTGCTTCTCCCTCTCCCGCTGCCTGCAGCTCCCCCTGCTTGTGCGTGCTCTCTCTCTGACAAATAAATAAAATCGAAAGAAAGAAAGAAAGAGAGAGAGAAAGAGAGAGAGAAAGAGAGAGAGAAAGAGAGAGAGAAAGAAAGAAAAAGGAAAAAATCAATCGTCTATCTACTGGACAAGCAGATTGGCTTTTGGGTGATCTGGCCACCCTGGGAAGCTGGGAAGCTGAGAGCTGAAACCAAGTGCTGAGGCACACAGGTGCTGGCGGGGACCGGGGACCAGATCTGAGCCCAGGTGTTTCTAACTCCACTAAGCCTACAGCCCCACCCCCCTTGGCCCTGAGGTTTCTGCATTGGTCCATCTTTTCCTTGTCCTATCATTTACCACTTTTCTTCATGTTGAATTACTTCTTAAGCTTATTTTAAAAGGCAGTTTAATGGGCTCCACTCTGTGAATGGAGCCTACTTAAAAAAAGGAAAAAGAGGGGCACCTGGGTGGCTCAGTCGGTTGAGCATCCAGCTCTTGATTTCGGCTCGAATCATGATCTCAGGGTCGTGGGATCAAGACCTGAGTCGGGCTCTGAGCTCAGCTCGGAGTCAGCTTGGGATTCTCTCCCTCTCCCTCTGACCCTCCCTGCTGTGCTCGCTCTCTCTCTCTCCAAAATGGATAAATAAATCTTTAAAAAAGAAAAAGAAAGGGTGGGGGGATGGGTTAGCCTGGTGATGGGTATTAAAGAGGGCACATTCTGCGTGGAGCACTG